GTTGAATTGTGCGGTACAGAGAAAACACAGGGTTCCTCAGCCGCCACTCAGTCCAACAGGCACGGATTTCAACAAGTCGCAGAAATAATTGAAAGCAAAAGGCCCGTCTGACCTCAAAATGCCGGATAAAGAGCAACTGGTAGGTTGAGTAGTATTCTTCAGACAACCCTTACCCCACGAGGAATGAGTCATTAACACCGAGGCCTGGATTAATTCAATAATGGCCCACTGATGATCCATTTTCCACGAATGGAGATTGAAAGTCTGGGAATAAAAGGTTAATGATAGCTTGATCAGGACCTAATGACCTCATATCAGCCTAATGTCCCGGATGGGTAACGGAGACACGAGCAACAAGACGATGGAATAATCGCTCTGACAGGCCGAAACATCGCCAGTCTTCCGTCTCAACACCCACAAACAGTAGCTATAGCAGGGAACGTTTTAGCAATCGGTGTCTCAAAGTGGAGCAGTATGACTATAGTATGACTCTCGATTTCAATATCAGTATACTAGTAAAAGAACATGTGTAAATATTGCGTCCCCTTCTCACCAGAGGCTCAGCGACCGCTGAGCGACCAAATCTTATTTCATACATACATATTATAAAGAACAATTCAATTATTTTACGTATACGTTTTGCGTTTTGTTGCTTCTTTGAATCACACATATATCAAAATATCATACCATGACGTGTATCATAATTCAATTCAAAAAGATTGGGGATCACACAGATCCATGTAGTCGTGGTCGCTCAACTGTCGCTAAGGCCATGTTGATTTGATTATATGGATGACATGCGCGCGCGCATGAATTTTCGGCCGTTTCCAAAAAAAAAGTTTTCAACCATACTGTAAATCGTGCAAAACAGTTGCTAAATGAGCAAAAATATACCATAAGTTGCAAGGAAAACATTTAGAAACGATACCAATGTCGTAGAATGCCAAAATCAAAGGAAAAGGGACAAAAATGTAAAGAAATGAATTCGAAGAGTAGATTATTCGCCATAACATATTCTGTGCCATTTGTTCCACCTTCTTGACCACGTAGATTTCATAGTGAAAGCAACTTTTTTTTTGCAAAACTTTTTTTTTATTCGCACGCGCGCATCAGTTTTGGGGTTCCCAGAGGATGTCATCCATATAATCAAATCAACATGGCCTAAGCGATCGCCGTCTGGTGAAAAGTGGGCCTTGATGAGGGAAAGGAGGTGTCACTTTTCGGTGACAAGAACTGTTTGTGCAAACACACCTGCCAGTGAAAAAGACAGCAACCCTTTATCACCATCTTTAGACTGTAAAATCCTCCGGGGGCGAATCTTTGCCCACATGGATGCGATATCAACAACACACAGCCAGAAAAACGCTGACACCTACACTAATCTCCCCCTTCCTTCTGTCCAAACTGTCACATTTAGACCTGTAAAAGGCAGATGTGAGCGGGGATAAATCGTCAGTCGCCGAGTGTGGAGGTGTGACATAAGCCCTCTCAGCTTTAGCCGCCCATCAATGCGGACGTCATGGATGTCCTTATCGTGACTTGGACGACTTTCTGGCGGTTAGAAAGTCAAACCCGTCCGAGTGACAAGGGATCAGGTACGGTTGACATAATCCCAGTCCTGTCATTTTGCCAGACACCACGGCCGTTTGTACTGCGACATGACGTTGTGGCG